TTACCATGGCATCCAAAACTGAATTTTTTTCTTGATACCAATGGTCATGCGGATGCTGGAAATCGCTCTATCGAGGCTTTTCCTTCGCACAAGTTAAAAAGGTTTAAGAAGTGACTTCAGTTGGTCTCTTCGAAGGCCGCTGGTTCGAATCCCACTCCCGACAATTCGGTAGTCGGTACCTCTTATCTTCAATCGGTTTACCATCGAGTTTTCTCTCTTGTCGAGCTGCGTTACTTTTCTTTTGCGGTTTTGCATTTACCGGCCCGCGTATCTGTCTTTTTTCTTCACCCCCCGACAAGATTGCTGCAACGTGGAGGACTTTCTGCAAGAGGCGCAGACCATGAAGCGTCTACATCACCCCCATCTCATTCAGCTGTATGCCGTCTGCACTCAATCGGCTCCGTTCTATCTGGTCACCGAGTTGATGTCCAAGGGCGCGCTGCTCATGCATCTACAGTCGTCCGAGGGTAGACGCCTCTCTTTGCACAGTCTTGTCGTGATGGCCGCCCAGATAGCCTCCGGAATGGCCTATCTGGAGTCGCGACGCCACATTCATCGCGATCTGGCCGCACGCAATGTTCTGGTTGGCGAGGCCAACATCGTCAAGATCGCCGACTTCGGACTGGCCCGAATGATCCAGGTTGGGCAAGCGAGAGATTTGTGCTGTTGCACATTTTTTTGTGTTTGGTGAAAAGCACGATTTGACTTTGAAACAATCCTTTTCCAATATGAGATGTATTCAACCTATTTCGTCCAAGGTGATGAAGGACTGGTGGTAGAATTTTCCCACAATCGTATGAGTTAAGCTGACGTTTCCATTCAATTTCACATTGCCTTGTTTTCCCAAAAGTTCTTCTCATCACGGTTCGACTCCCGCTGAGGGTGTTGATAAGACCAGTTGATGCGAGGTCGAAACTGCAGTCCACTGGGGCCTGGATGAGAACAACTTTTGGGAATACAAAGCTATGTGAAATTCAATGGAAACGTCAGCTCAACTCATATCATTGTGGGAAAATTCTTCTTTTTTCAGTCCTTCATCACCTTAAACGAAATTAGGTGAATACATCTCATACTACTGATTTGCCGGTAGTCACGAAAGTCTACTCTAATACGAAAAAAAATCCTTTTCCAACTTCATTTCATGAAAGCTGAGTTGAGCCGACCGCGCATTAAGCATTCGTGAATGTCGAGAAAGAAAGAGGGTTTGGGCTTGAATTGTTTTAAAGAAATAATTTATTCGAAAGGAATGAAGACCAAGACGATGTGGTTTTTGGTATTCTGGTCGCAGTCTTCTTTCGTTTTATAGAAGTTGTTTATGAGTTGTGTTCACTCTATTTCGTTTAAAGTGATAGGATGTTTCCACGATCATACCTTATCTAAAGAGATAGGGTGAGTACATCTCATATACACTATTTAACGATAGTCTCGAAAGCCTACTTGCAAACAAGACATAGAATTTTTCGCAACTTTGTCCTATTCTCAGGGAGCCACGCAAATTGTCTGCAGTCCATGGTGCCCATGTTAATTTTCACCTTCGGAACGTGGACTTGGTACATTTCTGGACATTTCGCCGCCAGCTTCAGTGAGCCTTGTCATTCTTAGCACCAGACTACAACTCTTCGATGCTTTGACCAAATTTGTGTTTGATATTTGCATCTTTGCCTCTCTCCTGATGCATTTACACATCCCCTGTTCTCGTATCACCCGTTCACTATCACAATTTCTAACTTGTTTCCATGACTTATTGCTTTGACGATGTCTTGGGTACACTGAAGACTGGAAAAGAGGCCTGCTATACTCAACTCGACAAATGCCAACTTTCAATGTAAGAGTGGGAACTTCATCTTGACGAAATAAATGTAAATAGCGCTGGTGAATGCTTACAAAAACAGAAAATCTCCAGTGGCCTGTATTTTGTGCGTTTATGCTGTTGAGCAATGTTCGGCGGAAGGGTCGAATAGCGTAGGAGGAGTGCCTTGAAGTTCTGTACTTGTTATTCGAAATGGTCCGAGACGAAAGCTGCATGACAACTAACTTGCATGTCAAGAAACGATGCACAACTGAGGCAGTAGCAGGTAACAGTTGGTGCTTATTGGAAGTCATGAGCGAAACGTGAATGAAGCCGCTGATGATTAGCGATGAGTTAAAAAAGAGTTGATATGGTGCAAGCGATGCGTTGAAACGGTCAAACTGAAAGAGCCTTCGCAGGCAGATTGTGATGGTCGCTAGTTGTTTTGTTGTTGTCGTTGAGCTGTTTTCGAGGTCGGATTGTTTGCGAAGAAAAGTTGCGTTTCGACGAATATCTTGTTGCATAATTGTTGAGCTTACTTCCATTTCGAGTGAAAGTGTGCAGTGAAGAGATTCGAAGCTCGGTTCCACCAGAAGACTTGACTCTTGACTCGTTAGTTTCAATTTGGTTGTGACGATGTTACCTCGGTCTGATGATGTTCGTCAAATGACGGACCTTTTCACCGGAATCCAAGGAGATTGCCTCGCAAACAACGTCAGCATAAATCTTCCAGTAAAGCCAATCGACAGCTGGTCAAGAGGAATCCGTTGCTGGTCGTCTTCTGGTGGAATAGACCTTCGAATCTCTTCACCCAACACTTCTACCCGAAATGGAAATAAGCTCAACAATGGTGAAATAAGATATTCCTCGAAACCCAACTTTTCTTCAACTTGTGTTTACCATTACAGTCAACGGCATTACTTATTTCCGATTTAAGTAGGTTTCAAGACTAGCAGTCATTCTTGAAAAAGTACTCAGTAACCCCATGTCGTTAAGGCTGCATTAAAGAGTCATGGATCAGTTTTCCCATAATAGTATGAATTAGTATTACCTCAAGGGTCGAAGGATGACGAAATTGTTATTCGGGAATAATAGATGCTCTCGAGGCCTACTCGCATTGGATTTAAGTAAAATCTATTAACGGACAAATACATGTTTGTTTCATCGACAATCCAACGATACAAGTGATTTGGGAGACTTCTAGCTTCATAGACCTGCGACATCTGCTCTGTGGCCCACTGGCAACTCTGGTCCTTTTCTAGAATAACTTTGTCTTAACCGGAATCGAAGAAGATTGCCTCGGATACAGCGTCAGCATGAATCTTGCAGTAAAGCCAATCGACAGCT